GGCAATAGGCAAATCTAAAGAAAATACAACCTCCCCTTCCCCACAAAAAGGCCTACCAAAGGAAATACCACTTCCCAGTGACCCTGACAATTCCTAGCATTATGCTGGTTAACACCGCTCTTCCAAATCATGTCCTAACACAACTGAACTGTCTAGTGATGAGTCCAATAACATAGATGGAGTTAAATTATAACATATGACCAGCTCATGCATTGATCACACAGATGAGAAACATAGCAAAGCACGATTTACTCTCTTCTGCCAGACAAACACATGGTGTAACCAGATCCCCAACAAAACTACCTATAGTGATGGCAGGGCCCAGCATAGCCCTTCTAGAATAGACGCATATTCCAAAGATAAGTCATTTGCCCACTACTGCATCCCAAACTGAACTGTTAAACACCAAACACTTAGACAATACAAGGGAATTAGTTTCTTTTATTACAAATAAGGGCAATATGCCCATTACATCGCTCCTAAACTGGAGCAAAGACCAAACACTTCCCCAGAACAGATAAAACCAGGGCAACAATATTACAATACTAACAAGTGTTTTAAAGTAGAATTGTTAATGCAAGTTCTCTGAAAGTGACCGGTAAAACATGAGTGGCTTAGCACACAGAGCTCAGGCTGGGACCCCAAAGACCTGCGCTCTTGTCCTGACTTTCCTGGTACTCTTGTGCATATTTGTGAACAAGTCATTTTACTGTGGGTGCCCATTTTCTGTTGTATCCCTTATTTTGTCTGTTTAGATTGCGAATTATGTGTTTGTAGAAAGCCTGATCTTGGATGGAGCCACTAGGTAACACAAACATTCAGCCATATAGAACTCTAGTTTGACAGAATAATTGTAACAGGCAGGGTTGTGGGTGGTCTTGTCCAGTGGTTAGAGGAGGGCTAGAGATGGGGAAGAACTCAAAACAAAGGCCCAGACCAGGGTTATGAAACAGATACCAAGTTACCAAATCCAAGAGAAATCCTGGGGCAAGGTTTGAATCAGAAGCCAAGCTGAAGTTCAGGATTGCCAAGTCTTTGAATCTATTCCAGGAGGTTTCATCACATGATATAGTGACATGAATGACTTGACATCAGGGAGGCAAATGCACATTACTATTATATTTTAAAAATCCACTGACCAACTATATAAATCCGATTCCACGTTTAATATGTATTTTAATGAATGCCCTAGCATTCATCTCCTGGGTAACTCTCAGCAGTCTCCTGGAAATGTATTTCTAATTCCTGGAGGCTCCAGGGCAATCCTAGATGGTTGGCAACCCTATTCAGGCATCAGGCTGAATTACAAAATCCAAGGGAAAAGCCAAAAGCCAGACTCTAAGAACAGAGCAAGCAGGATCAAGAAACACAGGATGACGACTCCCATGGGTCAAGTAAAGGGCTGTAGGTGAATAGATGTTGTATCAGTGGAAGAAGCCTGTGTGTGACTTATTTTACATGAGCAGGCTGTAGCACATCAGCAACTACATGGCAGAGAAGCCCATTTCCAGTGGCAAGGAGATGCAAGACAACTGGGGTTACTCTTCCACTGCAGCCTTCATCTGCCTTTGCAGCTGTTGAGAAGTTTGTGTTCTGCATCCACCTGCTTCACTGTTGAGGTCTTTGTGTTGTGTTGGTCCGCTCTTCATCTGATACCTCATTTTTGACCATGAGGAATTGCTGAGAATGATGATGATGACTAAATGTAAGGTGTAGCAGAGGCCTGAGGCACAGAGAAAGGAGGAAGAACTTGCCTCAAGGTCATCCAGCAAACCTGTGGCTTTGCCAGGGAGAGAACCCTTGACCTCACAAACTCCTGTCCTATGCCCTAGCACCCACAACAGGTCACATCCTAAGATTAAGCATTTTCTACTTTATTATTCATGGTTATAAGGGCCTTCACAGCAGTCTGAAATTGGCTAGAAAGAGGAAATCATCAAAAATGACAAAGCACAATGAAAACTGAAAAAATGCAAATCATTGCTTTTTGCTACCTTCTTCTAGCCACAGTGTTATCTGTAACCACAGAAGAAACAATATTTTCAGACAGATGCATGATTTTCTAACCATTAGTGTCCCTTCAAGTAATGCTTACGGAATGGCATGCATTGAATCCAAATCAGTCCTCAAAGCACCACTCTTAAAAGTACAGGGATGTCAGTAGTCTCCCATTGTTCCTAAGGGGCATTAGTTCAGGCTCATTGTGAGATGGATTGGAGGAGTGGGGAAGTCAACATTCAATGGCAAAGTGTCAAGAGGCAATGGACTTTTATGGTTGCTTCTACGATGTTTAGATTGGGAAGACTGATGACTGAGCCAGTGTCTACTGTTTTATAGCCGAGGGCTTTGAAAACACCATATTGATGTTGTGCTGTTCATCCCAAAGTATTCTACAAATGCTGCTACACAGGAATGAGTGCTGCTGCCCCTGGGCTGAAACAGCATAATTACCAGTGTAGAGTCACTCTGCATAAGCAGTTTAAGACAGGAAGTGAGGGATATGGTTTGAAACTGCAAAGGAAGCTTCCCCTCAAAAGACAAAGCATAATTCATAATTCAAGCCAGAATGTGGCCAAGACAGTGGGTTCAGGGCTCTTACCTTTCTGCAGGAAGTAGGAAGGAACCTAAACTGCTGCTGCTAGGGCTCACATATCCCCTAAAAGACACACCACCTCCCACCCACAGCGCCTGAGAGAAGTGGGCAAAAATCTTCAGTAGAGTTTTTGATGAAAAATAGATTTTTGAATATAAAAATTTTGATTTTGTTCAAAATTGCCTAGTTTTCTTTGACACAAATTCACAGTTTAGGGCTGGAAGGGACCTCGTGAGATCCACATTTCAAGACTGATCATTTTTTTGATGGGGAAAACAGCTGAAAGTAAACATTTTCTCTACTGAATTCTCCAACTCAGCGATGGTAAAGTGCCCATATGGGCAGTTAAATTAGGTAACTACAGGTCCCCCACCAAGCCAGTGACCTAAGCTTGCCCTTCTTAGCTTGGGAGAGCTGACAGGGTCGTAGTAAAAAGGCAGTACAGGGGGATTCCCTCTTCAGATTTGCATCAAACATTGGAACACAAAAGCCCCTGGCAGATGTTAAATTTAATCGTATGATGGGATTTGAGGAATTTTATTCTGAACCACAACAATCCTGCACCCTGCTATGCCAGACACTCAAACTCTGACATGGCAAGATGTGTTGGGATCTGGGATAAAAATTCTTAGGTTGCATTGTGCATCTGCTGGGGTGTGCAGCTGGCTGCACACAAGCTGGGGTGCAGGGAGCTGTGGATGGGGAGTTCCCCAGTCCCCAGCTTGCATGCAGCTGGCTCAATGTCTACTGAGGCATGTGCAGCTGGGGACTTGGGAGCTGCCCACTGAAGCATCAGTGCCCCATGCAGAGACATCTGAAGTTACATTGTGCAGCCAGATGCTGGGTTGCATGCCACACATTCAAATTAATAAGTGCTATACAAAACAGCAACAAAGGTGTTCCACATTACATTAAATGTAGAACATCTTTGTGGTTACTTGCCAGTTTATCACACAATAAGTTAGCTGAACTTGTGACATATTACAATTCATTGCACAATTAACATATTAATTGTGCAATAAATGTAACATATGCCAGGGCCCAAACAGACATACAATACAGAGAGGTGTGGAAAAGCTCAGATCCCAAATCATCAGCAGAACGTAGGCTTAGGCATAAGTTATTCATAAATATATACTTGAGGTTCACCGATAAAGATTTTCTTGGCCAATACCAATAGATTGCATAGACGTTAGGGCTGGAAGGGACCTCGAAGATCACCAAGTCCAGCCCCCTGCCAAAGGGTCAGGAAGTCAGCTGGGGTCAAAGGATCCCAGCAAGATAAGCATCCAAACGCTTCTTGAATGAGTCCAGAGTAGGTGCCTGCACCACCTCTGGAGGAAGTCTATTCCAGATCTTGGGGGCTCGGACAGTAAAGAAATTTTTCCTTATGTCCAGCCTAAAACAGTTTTGGCAGAGTTTATGACCATTGGTCCTTGTTTTTCCTTGGGGTGCTCTGGTGAACAGACATAGCTGATTATTCACCAGGCATATTGGCCAATACAGATCCAATAACCCAGTGGTTGTCAACTGGAGGCATGTGTACCCCTAGGGGTACTTAAAAAGGTTGTAGAGGGTATGCAGAACAAGTGAGAAAAAATTACTAGAAGTACACCGATACATCGGTCCCATATCAGATCAGCACCAAAATAAGGAAAATTGACTGTATTAGCAACTGGCTTTTTTTGGCTGATAAATGACCCGTGCATGCTTGCAGCTGCAGTGCAGCATGCAGACGGCCAGGAGCACAGTCCGGGAGCACGGAGAGGAGCTGGGTCCGTCTCATAAGTTTGTTGTGGGGGAAGGAGTGCTGGCTGCATGTTCCCTGCCTGCCCAGCAGTGGGAGGCACAGTTTGCTGCCCCCACTGCTGCTGAGTGGGCAGGGGATGTGCAGCCAGCACACAGCTCCCAGGGCAAAGGCAGCAGGATGGAGAGCCCTAAGCCCGTAGTGGGCTGACTGCCTTTGCCCTCACCCCATGCATAAATCTGGTGGGGCACATGCCCCCCATGCCTCTTCTGTGGTTGCACACAACAGCTGGGAACTGCCCCCCCTTACTCCTCCCCCCAACACCCTTTGGATGAGCTCCCCATAGCTTCATCTTGCTCCCTGCCCCAGCCTGGGATCCCATTCACTGCCCTGGCTGGACTGTGCCCCCATCCCCAGCCCCTGCCCATGACCAGGGGGACTCAATCTGCCTGGCCCACACCCCTTCGTTCTCCCATGTCCCTTCCCCTCCACAGACTTACTGGCACAGTACTGCTCTCCACAGTGCCCAGCTGTATTCCTGGCCATGTGCATGCATGCGGCATCTGGGCGCCCCAGCCAGAAGGCATATTATATTTATCGGTGACATTATTGGCTACACTGGCCAAAAGAGCCAATAGCTGATAACGTTAATTTTCCTTTTATCAGTGCTGATCCACTATGGCACGGATATGAACCGCTAATATATATTAAAACAAAAGAAAGTTAAGAGCTATTTTCTCTATTATTTAAATGCCAGTGTCTGAGGCTCTGAGTTTCTCCATGTCTCTAAAACCTAAAGCCAGAATCCCCGAACTCAGGGCATGACAGTCCAAGGTCTTTTTCCATATGCTGAAATACATAAAGACTTGGCATGTGTGAACTTCATAGAAATCACATACTAGCATAGTCTCAGCAGAGCATAGTGGATCAGTAGTAGGTGCTCACAGCACCCACTCCATTGGAAATTATCAGAGTAGCCATGTTATCCAGTGCACAAGGTAGGCAACCACGGTAGGAAGCAGAGTTCCTATTGCTGGCTGCTACACCATAGCTATTGCAGAGTCTTCAGTGCTGCTCCCCTGGTCCAGCCCTACCCGACGGATGGACTCTCTGTATTTTTGCCTCCCCAGGTCAATAATAGCCTCAATCTCATCAGCAATGTCCTGGCGGCCACTCTCTTTCATGGCTGTGACCAGCTTCTCCACACAGTTTTGGTCCTCAGAGTTCTGCTGGGCCCAGGGAACACAATTAACAGCTTAAAGCCACAGCCTTGGGGAAAACAGAAGTGCATTTTCCAGCCAGGAGCTCCTGAATGGGATAGGATCTTATGGGG